TGCAGATATTTAGGAAACATGCTAAGTTGACATATGTTTCTCCACGATTTGAATTAATAATCATAATTTTTAGATCACAATTCTCCCACAATTCTGAACAGACTACTAAACAAAATAACATAATCAGGGCTCCAGACTAACATTTGAGTGCAGTGGCGCTGGTGATTTTGTGATGGAGGTAACGGAGAGCCTTGAAACAATTGCTGTTCCTGTTTCATCACTCAAAACAAAATGTGTTTTCATTAAGATTAGGGAAAAGCAGTATGTCATCCCAACTGTCAACACAATTGAAACATACTGAAAACTTAGTTTAGCGCCTGTTCCTTTGAACAGACTGCTAGCTTAACCCACTAGTGTTAGAAAACAATCAAAAGTGCATGTACAGTGCGTGCATAATTATTATGCAAGTTCATATTCTGATCATATTTTTTTTCCAAGTACATTTTACAATTCCAAACCACATCAATGTTAATAACTACTATTAATTTTGTATTTAATCATTTATATGAGATATATAATTAAGGAATGCTGAAAATGAAAAACGTCTTATATTCAGGTGTGCATAATTATTAGACAGGTTTTCTTTTACGGGTAAAATGGGACGGAAAAAAAATAGATTTAACTCAGATTGAAAAGTCAAAAATTATTAAATGCTCATGAGAAGGATGCAATACTAGAAATTGCAAAATTAAGGCGTGACCATTGGACAGCAAAACACTAATTTTTTCAGCAGGGTCAGACAAAAACAGGCCAAGAAGAAAAGATGCATATTAACTGCAAAAACAATCAGGAATTAAGAATTAGGTGTGAAACCATCAGGAACCCTTTTAGTCTCCAGCGCCACCATTTTCCAGAACAGCAACCTACTTCTGGAGACTCCAGAAGTGCAAGGTGTCAGGTTCTTAGAGACTTTGCTATGACATCCTGAAATACAGTGTTGGGGAGTAACTAGTTACATGTAACGGAATTACGTAATTTAATTACAAAATAAAAGTAATTGTA